CCCACCACTTTGACCATGTTCTGCTCTTGGAGGACGACTTCCTCTGGTGCGATGGCCTTGGTGCTGAGGGGGCCGATCCAGCGGGACTCTTCCCCGGAGATTCGATTGGCCCCATGGTGGCCGAGCATGCGTTGTGCGTGGGCTTGCCGCATGCGCTTCGTGCGGCGCCCCGGTCTTTCGCCGCCTTGCGACTCAGTTACGGCATGAATGGCCTGGTGCTGCCATGCGGCCATGGGGAGCTTGGAGAGCTGGCCGCGCTAGTCACTCGAGCCGCGCGGGTCGGGCCGGTAGACACTGTGGTCGGACAGTGGCTGGCAGATCGTGCGCGCAGCGGCCCCGGGCGCCTGGCCGGCCGGCCGGTAGCCGAGCCGGGCTTTCGAGCGGTCGGCTGCGGTCGGCGAGACGCGCTGGCAGGCTGCCCGGGAGATGCCTTTACCCTGGCGGGGGGACTTGGGGTTTATTTTGCCAATCTGCTTCATCACATTGGGCACTATTCCATCCGCCGCGGGGGGGACTACGCCGGGGGGGCGGAAGCCCGAGCTGATGGTCGAGCATGCTACCCTCCCTGTGGAGGGCGGATACAGTATGTCGGCCTGTTGGCTGACGAGAACTGGCACCCATCATGCGGACGCCCAGACACCGAGGCGCCAGTCGCCTGTGCCACGCCCGGGCGCTCGTGCGCAGAAGCCCACCTCCAGGCCGCCGACCCGGAGGCATGGTTCTCGCCCTGCCCCGGGTGCAGGGATCCGGCAGACAACCAGCCTGGCGGCCCCTGCACAAGGGGGGGCATGCCCTTCCCCGTGGTGCTGGCACAAGCTCGGACCATGCTCGAACAGGGCGCATGCGCCGGGGGTGGTGGCCTCCGGTGAGCGGGCCCGGTCCGCCGGCAGGTCGCAGCTCGATCGCGCAACATCCCTGGTTTAGCCAGCCACAACCGGGATGCGAGCCGAAATACAGGTCGCCTTGAATGTGTGTTTGTGGTGGTGTCCGAAGGAGGGGGCAAAAAAATCGGCCCGAGTGCAAATGGCCGCCCGGAGCCCGCACAAGAGTTGGCTGTTGGGCCGGGCGGGAGAAGGGCCTCCCGAACGCGGGGCATCTTCATTTTTCTGACACTCCCGCCCTCGCCCCCCAGGCCGAGGGCCCACATCACCCGGCCCTCCTTTTCTCTTGCCTCCATACCCTTGCACCCCTTCGCAGACGCTCCTTTTGCCCTCTGCGCGACCTTGATTTACCCCTCTCCACGTGTCGGCACGTGTACGCTCGCACACGCTCGCACACGCTCGCACACGCTCACGCCCATACCATTTGGCGGCGACACCCACAGGCGGAAGTCCCCACACCTCTTTTGAAGCGCGACCCGGGAGCGGTCACTCGCCGCGCTTGGGTATCTCTCCGTCCTCTTTGACCATGTTTGGCCAGGGGCGGCAATCGCACCCTCCCTCTGCGGGAGCCTCCTCACGCATGTCGCACCATGGTGGTGGTGGTGGTGGCGGTGGCGGCGGCGGCGGCGGTGGTGGCGGCGGCGGCGGCGGCGGCGGCGGTGGCGGCGGCGGCGGCGGCGGCCGCAAGTCCCACTCTCGGGGCCGACCTCCTCCCAGCAGCCATGGCCCTGGCGTGCCGGCCTCCGGCATGCCTGTCGACGCGGGGCTCTTTTTGCGCCTGCGCGACGCGGCTCTCGGAGCGCTGGTTCGCTGGACTCCCCTCTTTGAGGACATGTCGCAGCATGGCTTCCGGGCACCGCGCACCGACCCGCTGCGAAACGCCCCAAAGACCCCGGCTGTTGTTCGACCGCCATTGTCACTGCCAGTCCCCCCGCCATCGGCCATTCCGTCGCAGGCAGCCAACTTGCACATGTACCTGGACATGGGTCCCTCGGAGTCGGTGCCCAAAGCCTCGGACGCCTTTCTCGGGCGCCTGGAGCGTGCGGTCACTCGAGGCCAGATCCTGTGCCTGGTGCGCGAGGAGTCCGGCAAGCGCTCGGACAGGGACAAGCGTTCGCGCAAGCGCGGCCACAATGACCCTGGGCCGCCAGACGCTCCGGTGGCTGCGGGCATGGGCGGAGGCGTGGGCGCGGCTCTGGCCCGAGCGGCCCTCAACAATCGCGCCGGTGTGGCATCCCAGCATGATGCCACGGAGGTGTATCACCTCCGACGCCTGGACTTCGAGTCGATTGCCTATGTACGCTGCTGATGTCCATTTGTGTGCCCTTCCGCCATCTTTTTGGTTGACATGTCTTCATTTCCCCCCCCCCCCCCCCCCCCCCCCTCTCACTGCCAGTACTGTCTGCTGTGCTTGGAGTCCAGCATTTATCCCCCATTCAGTATGTTGCCCGCGAGAACATTGGTTCGATTTTCATCCCACTAGTGTTGCCTCTTTGCGCCTCCCCGGTGCTTTTCCCTCCCCAAGCATGAGTCTGTCTAATTCCGCGATCGCATTTGTCCCTCTTTTTCCTCCTCCCCCTTCTCCTCCCCTTCCAAACCCCATCCGCCGACAGACGGCAACTTTGAAACATATGTCGGCATGCGCGGCGCGCATTCGGGGATCTCTCGCCTGCGACGAATCTTTGTCCAAGCTCTGACCCGGAGCTTCGAGCAATTTGGCCTGCACCCCTTCAACCGGGCTCTCTATGTGCGCAGCCTTTTCCCTTTCCCCCCCCCCCTCCCCCCCTGCCCATCTGTAGCACATGCTCTTCACCAATACCGCTGAGATCGTCAAGGGCCATGTGGATATTTCGGCCCACCTGTCGGCGGCCGAAACCCCCCTCGGTGAAGCGGTCACCCGGCGCCGGACCATCCTCTTGATGGAACTCGTCCAGGCGGCTCCTCTGCTGATGGGTCGGCTTTTGACCTTCCACCTGGGGTATCTGGCACTCGCCGAGCGCCGACCGCCCGGGCATCAGGCCGATCGGGAAGACTGTTTCCCTGGGCCGGACTTTGGGCCTCGGCCTGGGCTCGCCCAATCGGTGGGGGCATTGGCATACTTGCGAAGCCGCTTCCCCGCGGAGCTGGCCCTGGCTGTGGACTCCCTGTTGGCCGATGTGGCCCTCTTTGGCCAGCGGCGGCAAATCATCGGCAATGCCTCTTCCGACTTGGGGTTCCTGCTGACCCTGCTGCCGACGACCGGTAGTTTGGTGCAGCTAGCAGCCACACCGGCGGGGCATCTGGCCGGCAATCTGCTCGCCGGCTGGCCAGTCGACGGCACGCACGCCGATGAAGGGACCCCATCGGCTGTTCCCCTCTCCTTGGGTCCTGTGCTCTTTGGTCTGGCACATCAGGCCACAGAGTATCTCCCGAGTCGAGGGCTCGCCGGCCGGCCCGAGGCCTTGAGTTACCTGCTGTCCACGGTAATTCAGCTGCTGGCCTATCTGTCATCAGCGGTGGAGGGTACGTGCATTTGTGTGTGTGTGTGTGTGTGTGTGTGTGTGTCAGAAGAGGAGGACAGGGCGCATTCGATAAGTGTCACAGCCCTGTCTCCATCTGCTTGCCGCTCTTTCCTTCAATCCTCCAGTGCCCTTCCCTCACACCCCTCCACCCGCTCCCCCGCCCTCCACCCTCTCCGACATGTGCTGGCGCTTGTGTCACTCCATCCTGTAGGTTCGCGATCCTTCGACTTCTTCCGGCGGTGGCTCTACTTCTCCGACTTGGCTCTACTACTGGGACCGCCGTATCTTGAGCCAGAGCATGTGGAGAACTTCCTCCAGGCGACCGTACAGGCCACATCATTGGCATTGCTTGGCCAGTCTGGGCTCGGCGCATACCTCCTGGAGTCGGCTTTGGCCCCGTCCCCGCTGCTGCTGTCTGCCTCGCCCAATATCCTGGTGCGAGTGCGCAACGGTCGACGGAACCTGGTCATGCAGGTGGTTGAAACGGTGCGTGCTAGCCTGGCGATCTTGTCCGGGGCTCCTTGCCGGTGCTTTGCTTTTTGTTGACATCGGGTCCCCTCCCCCCCCCCCCCCCCCGCCCCTCCTTCACCTCCCCTCCTTCACCTCCCATCGGTGGCTCCTCCTTTCAGCTTCTCCGTCGTTTGGTGGCCATTGATCCGCTTTCCGGCACCAATAGCCCGGGCGCGGCGGCGGGCAGCCAGCTGTTCCTGCCGCCGGTCGATGTGTGCAGGCATCTACATACGGTCATTGCGAACTTGCTTCGCGTGTCCCATACCCCCTACCCAGCAACCGATGGAGAAGTCGACGAGGCTCTCCAAGCACTGGATTGCCTGCTGGGCCTGGTCGGAACGGGGTTTTGCTTGTCGGCTCTCGGATCGGCCCTGCTGACCCGCCAGGCCGGTGCCCTGGCTGGGGAGATGGTGGCCATTGTGGCACGGTCGGATCTTTTGTTGCCAGGCAGTGACGAGCAGCCGCAACAGCAGCACTCCAAGCTGGCCACCGCGTGGTTTCCTCTCTTCTGGCGCTTCCTCTTGACACTCTTCTCATACCTGGGTCTCTCTGGGCGAGACTTCTTCACGTGCGTGCTTGACTTGCTCTTCCCTCTGTCGATATTTTCTGCGCGCCACATTTTCCTCCTCCTCCTCCTCCTCCTCCTCCTCCTCCTCCTCCTCTCCTGTCTCCCTCTCTCCCTCTGTCCATCTCCAGCTGTTCTTCCGTCTCATCATGTGAGTATGCACATTAACCTGCTTCTCTTCTGGCGAAATGGCCAGTGAGTTCTGTCTGGTCCTCTCGGAGCAAAGTCCCTCCCCAAGGCTGATCCAGCTGCTGGACCTCCTGCTCTTCGCCGAGTACGCGACCTGTCAATCTTAGATGATTCTACCACCCACTTGTCGTCTGGCCTCGGAAAGCTCATCATCCATGCTCTTGTCTTGTACCCAGCCCCGACATCCCTGGCTCGCCCGGGCCCATGAGCCAAGCCTTGCCGGAATTCTTCCTGCGCAACCAATGGCCCCTGCTCTGCCTTCAAGCCTTCACCAAGGCCCGACTTGGTGCGTCCCTTCATAAGGCCGGCGCTGGACGCGAGGTAATTTGTGGATGGCTGGGGCTGCTGGCACGCGGCCTTTCCGCCGCAACCGAACGCACCCCGGGCGCTTCATGGGGCACGGCCCTCTTTGAGTCCTCCGCTGCCGGGGTCACCGGAACTATGCTGGCTCGGACTTGGGCTGGGGAATTGCTGGCCCTCCTGGCGGAGACCGACTCTCTGGAGGCATTGACCGCTCGAGGGGTGGATATTGCCGGAATCGGTGCGTCTTTTGCCCTTTTTAGCAGCCATGTCTTTGCCAATCTTCCTGACGCCCCCCTCTCCTTCCCTTCCTCTCTCTCCTTCTCCCTGTCTGCCCCCCTGCCTCTCACCCCCTCACCCTCTTACCCTCTCTCTCTCTCTCTCTCGCGCGCGCGCGCTCGCAATGCGTGTTCCTCGCAGTCGAGTCGCTGGCCAGTGTGTCGGAAGTTTTCCGTATGGAAGCCGTACAGGCAGGTCTGTTGTTGCTACTTCCCGCGCGGGTAGGTGACACTGGCGCTCGCGAGCCCTTGGTGGGCACCGGCGCGCCGGCCGAGGGCCCGGAGCTCTACTTCCGGCCGACGGGGTCTTTGGATCAGAGCGCACCTCTGAGTCCGATCCATGCGCCTCTCTCGCCGGCCGGAGCCTGGAACAATGGCGCCTCATCTGCCTCAGCCGGGCAATGGGACGAGCGCATGCCCGGGTCTACCACGGGCGTCACCCCTTCCACTCCCCGGCCCAAGGATCGGGGACTGATGCTCCAGGCCAATCTTGATCGCCGGCCATTCCTGCAGAAGCTGGTCCGCCGGTCGCGCATGCACCGAGCCGGGCGCGCCGGGGCTTCCACCGGAGGAGGAACCCCCTCCGCAATGGGGCCGGATCGAACTGAGCTCCCCGTTCTCGGCTCTGGCACGGCCGGCACAGTGGCCGTCGCCGCTGCGGCGTACCTACACTCGGGGGTGATCCGACGCCCCGGCTCCGGCGTGCCGCGGGTAGCACGCTTGGCACCGGTGTCCGGCTCGGCTACTCCGGCACCGGTGTCCACAGGCGACATCTCGCTGGCCGGCTTTTCCGCGGTCGATGTGCCACCTTCGGGACGACTAACCACGGTGTGCCGACCCTTCCAGCCGGTGGATGTGGCACTGCTCCGGTGCCTGCGTCGCCTGCTGGCACTGTCCGGCAGCACCGACCGGCCGGGCTTTGCCCAGCAGCAGGTGGCCGACCGCCTGTCACTCTTCATCTTGTCACACGGGTGCGTCGATCGAGTGCACACACTTTTCCTCTGCCCTTCGAGGAAGCATGCGCTGACTCCCGCTCTTGTTGTGCCTTGCTTCTCCCCTCATGGCGTCTCCCTTTCCAGTGATGGCCCCGCGGTGGTGCACTACGCAGCGACCATCCTGAGCCTGTTGGACTTGCTTCCTCTTGGTACATGCTCGCCATATACCCATGTGTACATCTCCCTGTCTCCTTTTCTCCCTGCCTCCCACTCACAAAAGAACGCGCCACATGTTGCCTCCCCTGTGATCGGTCCTTAGACATGCTCATCCAGCCGGATGGAGGCCTGCCCGCCGGCTTGGTGACCCTGTGCCAGGCATTTGCGCAGGCCTGGGCCGCATGGGGTCGAGTGGGGGCTGAAACTGCAAGCCCCCAGGCGCCTCCCGATGGCCTTGCCATTTGTACCATCCGCCTGGTGGGGGTTCTTCGTCGGGCGGGACTGGTCCCCGACAAGCTGGCCTTGGTTGCCGAGGTGGTGCGCGCGCTCATGGCCAGCGATCACACGACTCCCGCCGCCGCGGATGCTCCTCTGGTCCAGGGTGCTCGATTTTTCATGCCGGAGCTGGCCCGCGCGCTGGCCCGAGCGGCTTCCGCGGGAGCCGAAGCCCTACTGGACGGCTGCCCGGAGAGCTCCCTGGCCAATGAGCAAGACCTCTTGCGGATTGGAGCCTCTTTCTTGGACTCACTCGGGACCTTCGCTGGGCGTCTGTTGGCCTAAAGACAGCAGATCCCCACAATACCACTAGAAATAGATATGCACGCAGTGACGCCCGTGTTCCGCCCTCCGCTGTCGATCCACGCCCTTGCATGGCGTACCCACACACGCACACGCACACGCACACGCACACGCACACGCACACGCACGCGCGCACACACACACACACGCACACACGCACACACGCACACACGTGTACAGACATGCCGCCCGGACAATTGTGTCCATCACCCACATGAGACACAAGATAGATGCGTGACAAGCACTGACATGTGCGCACGCGTGCGGGGTGGTGCATGGAAATACGCACGGGCAATCGCAACCACATCTGGGCCTTTGTATTCTCTTCCACGCAAGGGATGGTACACTGTCTCTAGTCGGCCAACTGGTGAGGGAAAATGAAGTAAACAAATTGATCGAAAGAGACCCTGGGGCCATCTATGCAGGCGCGCAACTGTGCCACCTGCTTAGGCCTTCACCTCCTCCTCGTCCGGCTTGCGGAGCTGGATGACCTCCAGCTCGGAGGTGACGTAGTCACCGCACAGGGTCGGGGGGTAGGCCTTGCAAGCCTCCTCGGTGGCGAAGGGGCCGAGGGGCTCGAGGGTGGCGTCGCTGTTGATGTGGTGGAACATGGTGGAAGACACGCGCCAGAGGGGGCGGTTGGCGGCGCGAGCGGCGTCCAGCGCACGGCGAGTGGTCTCATCGAAGACCACCTCATGGTAGCCGGCGCGGATGGCACCGCCGGTGAGCCACTCGAGCTGCTTGCCGGCCTGAACCAGGAGGCAGCCGTCCGGCACGGAGACGCGCATCTTCTCGCCAGTGCGCAGCCAGATGTAGAGCCCGGGGAAGCGGGACTTGCCGTGGATGGTCAGGAAGTTCAGGTCGTAGTGGAACCCGGCGAAGATGGAGCCCTTCTCATCGTAGCGACCGAGGTCCGAGCCGGTGGGAGCAAGCAGGTGCTGGCCCTTGTCGGACATCTTGGGGAAGACCTCGCGCCCCAGACCAAGACCCTGGCCGACCATGGCGCCGACGGTGTTGACCGCGCCGTGCATCAGGTCACCCCAGCGGTTCATGACGGTCTCCCACTCGGGGAAGGCGGCCGGGATGACGGCCGGGCAGTTGAGCTCCGGGAACTTGGTGTCGACCGGGCGCTCACCGATGCGCCAGAAGAAGCGCCACTTGAGGTCGGGACCGAGGGGGAGGGTGGGCTTGTGCTCCTCGCCGAAGTTGCTGATCACCTCCTCGCAGTTGGGATCGGCCGCACAGCGGGGGACCTCCACACGCTCTGCAGGGGAAGGGGGGGGGGCGGGCGTCAAGAGCGGGGAAGGAGACAGTGGAAGGCCGAGAGTCAGAGGCAAACACGGAGAGGGGAGGCGCATGATGGGGGCGAGGGGAGGGAGGTCAACATACCGGGGGTGGCGCCAACCTGGTAGCCAACATCAGCACGAACATCAGCCATCTTGGCCTCGGCAGGCTGGTCGAAATAACGCTCAAGCATGTCCAGGTAGTTGCTGTTCTCCTGCTCGGAGACGCGAGGGTCGCGCACGAGGAGAATGCCATGGGACTTCATGACGGCGGCGGCCTGTGTGTGTGTGGGGG